GAAGGCAGCACCTCCCGAGCTGAGAAGGGGTTGCCGTCGGTTTTGCGCCGCTGTCTTCCCCCCCGCGGTGTTTGCGTCTTCGAAGGTTTAAGTGCAGTAACCTTTTGTTGTGACGGGCTTTTCCTCTTCCCTATCAGCCAGATTTCTTTTTCCCCCTTTTTTTTTTAAGTCTCTTTTTTTTTTCTTTTTTAAGGAGGGCGAGAAAAAAAAAATAAAAGCGCTCCGGGTTGCTTTATTTATATATTATATATATATGATTTTTTTCCTTCCTCCTCGCCTTTCAGAAACTCCGGCAAGTGTCCGCCGGGTGCTGAGCGGCTGTGAGCGGCTCCGCGCAGCGCTGCTCTGACCGCGCTCGGCTCCGCTCCGCGCTCGCTCTGCCGCGGTAACTCCCTTGCCCGAACGTAGCCGCGGCTCCTCATTAGCATCCTCATACATATTCCTCGCACCGGGGGCCGCGCGGCACCCTGGGAGCTGCAGTCCCTGCCACCCGTCACCGCCGCCACTGCACCGCGCCCGCGACTACAGCTCCCACAAGGCCGCGCGGAGTCGCGCGCCCCATCTCGCGCCGCCCCGCCCACGAGGGGCGTAGCCGGCGACCAATCAGCGCGGGCCGCACATTAATCGCCGTTCTGTATTAATGCCCATCACTTCGCCGCTGACAAATGGGCGCGCGGGTGCGCGGGGGGGGTGGGGGGCGGCACCGGCCGGGCCCCCACGTGGGGACAAGGCGCTCCGCGCGCCCGCGGCCAATGGGCTCGCGTCTCGCCGCCGCCCGGGGCGGGGCCTGCCGCTCCACGGCGCCGGCGCCCGAGCAGGGGAAACATTTGTTCAGCTGTCAATCAAAGTAACGTGGGGCGGCGGCGGCGGCTCCCGCGGCAGCCGCGCGAGCGCTGGGTGGCGGCGCGGCGGGAGCGGCGGCGGGGGCGGCGCGGGGAGCGCGTCCCCCCGCCCGCGGAGCCGCCGTATCGCCCTCGCCGGGAGCGACGCGCGCTAATTAGGGGGCAATGTCTCCTTAAAGAGACAAGCGCGGCCCTGCGCAACGTGCCGGAACCCCTGCGGAGACAAGAGGGGGAGGATCGCGCCGGTCCCGCTCCCTCCAGCTCACATCAATTTTACGCGCCGCTGGAGCTCGCATAATTTTCACGCGAACGGCGCTCGGTGCCCGCGCCGAGCGGCGCGGGGGGGCGGGCGGCGCCCCCGGCCGCGGAGCAGGCGGCAGCCGCGCTCCCTCCTTCTCTCCTTCGCCCCGCCGCGTAACGGCCGCCGCCGCCGCGCACCAACGGTCGGCGCCGCGGCCGTTGGCGACCCCGTCGGAGGGAGGGGGCGCCGCCATTTCCCGCTGCGCGGAGCAACAGGCAGCCCGGGCTGCCCCTGGCGTCCCGCCCGCCGCGCCGGGGGAGGCCGCGCGCTTCAGGCCGCGCATCGCGCGYCCTGCTAAATTATTTACATCCGAAATGCAAAGCCGCCCAAACGGAGACCGTAAAGCACCTGCTTATTGATGTCAGAGAAAGCAATCCCACATCATTTAAAGCTTCCTGCGCTGTTATTTTTCTTCTGTGCCCCGTTACATGGTGTCCCACAATACGGCTTTGGCAGTTGAGATGTATAATGTTTATAGTTACTGAATGCACCGTAATTTAAGGCTTGTTCCTACYAGCTTTGCTTACAGGGCTAAATCTTCACTCTTGGAAGCGCTTCCACTAAAAGGATGCTATCGCGGGCGACTCGCAGGAGCAGGGCTTAAAGAGCTGACCTCTACGTCTACGTCCGGAGGATGCGCTGGCCTRCAGCAGGGTGGGTGTCCTGCTCTCGGCAGCGAGCGCGAGGAGGAYGGAGTGCCGCGGCCTGCGCTGAGCCGCGTGTCCCCTCCCAAAGGCCTCGGCGGCCGCGTCCCCACGCCGCTACCCCTGACAGGCAGGGATGGAGTTTGCACCTGCTGGAGCTGTTCCCAAGAGCCGCCCGGAGCACCGTCCTGCGAGCCCCGGTGCGGGCAGGGCCTGCGCTAGCACACCTGCAACGGAGAGACTCGGCCTCCCTCTCTCAGGCTGAGATTTGCCCTCAGGCAGTTTTTATGGCTGATGCGCTGCAGTTTAAACCTGCATCTCAACTATAGTCTCGATGTGATTTTAATCATTTAGTCATAGAGGATGCCTGTATCCCAAATCTACAGGCTCAAAGCCTTCAGTCAGCAGCAGTGCCCTGATAGTGGTAGCTGAACTGAACATATTTACATTTCAGTAGTAGAATCTCCCTACAAACCGCATTTCTCTGGCTAAGGCCTGCCCCATCTGAGCACTTTGAGCCCTTGATGGGATGCTCCCTTGATGAAGGTTTTCCCTTCCTTACCTGCGCAGCAAGGAGAGAGCCAGGAGGCAGGGGAAGAGGTAAAGGGGGTGGTCACGGTGCCAGCTGTGACCACGGCCTCCTAGGGCCCAGAGATGCAGGCAGCACAGGRCAGACATGGGGCTTGTAACCAAGCCTGCTTCCTGCACGGGGGGTGCTGGAACCACTTGGATCCAGCATGTTCTGTGGCTGGTGTTCTGTATTGCCCCCACTTTGGGCATTTCCTACTAAACAAGTAAGAGATAGTCACCGGAAATTGTATCAAAATGTGGCCTTCTCGCCTTTTGTCTTTCTGTGACTCAAAAATATCTCCAGATTAACCATCATTAGGTGTTGCAGTCGCGAGCCACTGTCTGATTTGCAGCCTTCGTTTCCACTGGAATTTTCACGTTTTCAGAGTCCACGTGCCAGTGGGATTTAGGCCTCTGTGTGACACTGGAGGACATGGACAAACAGTACCCGCGCCGGCCCCGCTGCGGGCACGTCGCAGTGGGGCAGGTTGCAGTGGGGCAGGTTGGAGCAGGGCAGGTTGGAGCAGGGCTGGTCGGAGCAGGGCAGGTCGGAGCCGGTAGCACTGCAGTTCGGCAGCATCCCTTGAGACGCACCAAGCGGGCTTGGCCTGTGATGTTAGGATCGGCTCCCAAGCCTGGAAGAAGGCTGGGCTTGTTGGGAAACACCGTATCTGTTGAAACTGAATTGTGAAATCAGCAACAGGGTTTTATTTTTGTTCATGTAGCCCTACATTAATTTGATGCRTGGTGTGGAGCTGCAAACCAGAAGGTATTTATTTCCTGAAAAGGCAAGCACACAACTGTGGACAAAGCAGCCCCTCTGCTTCCTTTGGAGATGGATTCAGCCGTGGTGCCCATCTGAGTGGTGTCCACACAACACCACTCACTGTTATTTCGCATTGTCTTCACTGGATTTGTGTGGCTGAGCAAGAGTCTGCTCTGCTTAGCAAGATGTATATACGTTCATCATGGTTAATGCAACCATCATACATAAGGTGAGCACAGACACTTTGGGGGCAATATCACATCCTCAAGTTTTGCATCATTCTGGCAAGATCCATGAAACTCAAAACTTTATGCAGAATCTGCGCCATAATTTACCTCTTTCAAGTGATGTGAATTGAGATCAGAATGTCACTGTCACTCTATTTTCCTGTCTTTTGTCAATTCTGACACAACCTTGATGGGTCTTTAAATATAGATTGTTTTGTATTTAAAGTTTCTTGTTTTTTCCTTCTTTTATGAAAAATCTGCCATGGCAGGTTTTCTAACCTGAGCTAGTATCTAGCAAGTAAAAAAGGTATTTTTTAAATGTTTTACACATCTTGCTGAAGATTTCTCACAAGTGAATCGACTGCAAGAAATATTTAGGCAGTTTTATATGCACAGTAAGTGTATTGAGTTTTGACTTGCATAAAAATGCCTTAGGAAGTATCATAGAGGAGGCAGTGGTTGCAAAGTATCTCATCTATATTTTTCTCCTATTTTCAGGTAAAGCAAATGGTCATTAATACCGAATTGTCCATTTTTCATTACCTTTAAGTTCTAAGCTTTGGAGTGAACCAATATGTTTATCTACATATTTCAAAAGGTAGGCAAAATAAATTATTTTCATGCTGGGATTTTTGTAACTCAGTCTTGGACTTGGTGACTTTGGGCATAGACCAGCTATAGAGATTAATCAGGGACAGAGGACCCTTAATAAATCAGCCAAACCCAGGGGCACTCTGTGTGCAGCTTCACAGATTTCCCCTCTAGAGCGACAGTAGCCCAAATGCAACAGAGTGGTGTCTGGCACTGCCACTTCTTACAGTTTATTTTGGGACTGAGTTACCAGGTCACTGTGTTTTGTCAGCTGTGTACCCTGCGCACACGCACACACAAAAATAAGGGTGTTAATCTTTTTGATAAATCAATCAAAGCGCCCCACAGTAAATCCTACATTAACACACACATCTAAGTGCAYGGCACAACCAGCTTGCAAAAGGATAGCGTCAGTGCAGCTTCCAGTTGAGCTGGCACCGAGTTCTCCACACTTAAAACCTTAAATTATGGTGTTAAGCCAGGTTCTGCTGGTAGGAGAATGTAGCAGYATGACACCCGCCTAATATTCTTAGGTTTTACAAGTGCTATCAAGTAACCTCGTCTCAGGATCTTTCTAAACTCCTGACGTACACTTTCTAAATTAGTCATTAGTGATCTTAGGGGTATGTGGTAGTTAGGAAGCAAATTAAGACAATTTATGGTACTATGAATAATATGCTGATTCATACATCAATTTATACGTAGCTTTCACAAAACAAAAGTCTTTGCAAAACAGCCCGAACGCTCCGAACTC